AAAAAAAAAGGCATTTTAGCAAAGAAACACATAAATAAAAATAGTTTGGATTTTGTAAGAAACAATTAAAAATAAAAGAATCTTATAAACTGACTAGTGCAAAGAAAAGACTGGCTTTATTTAATCGGATAAAAGAAACTAATTCTATAAATATCTGGATGGCACAATTTTAAGAAACCTGAATTTTATACGCAAAACTGAAAATAACAAATTTAAACAAAACACAGAGCCAAGTATATTTTCTAAAAGCTAAAAGGAGTAATACTTTCAAGAATAAATAATTTAAATTAAAAAAATAAAAGCTAAAAGGAGCCCGGCTTGTGTGGCACAGTGGTTGAGTACTGATCTATGAACTATGAGGTCACAGTTCGATTCCCGGTCAGGGCACATGCCATGCCTGGTTGCAGGCTTGATCCCCAGTGTGGGGCATGCAGGAGGCAGCCCTCTCATCATTGATGTTTCTCTCTTTCTCTTCGTCCCTCCCTCTCCCTTCCTCTCTGAAATCAATAAAAATCTATTTCTTAAAAAGTAAAATTGCATACTTAAAATAAGTGAGTTTTGTGGTATATATTGGCAATCTCAACTGTTATTTAAAAACCTAGAAAATTGACAGTGGAGCTTTACAGGTACTTTATGGCTGGCATCTATGACTGGTTAGGTAATCTATTGTAAAGTATTTTGAATATCATTCCTATTGGTAAAAGTTTGATTTAAAACTTGGGCGATATCTTTCAACCTGGCTGCAGCCATCAGGTAAGCCAAGAAGGGCACTTACAAGTACATCCAGGAAGAAGCAGTCTGATATAATGCGCTTTCTTCTCAGGGTGCACTGCTGGCGGTACTGCCAGCTCTCTGTTCTCCACCTGGCCTCATAAAGCTGGGATACAAGGCCACGCAAGGTCATGTCATAGATCAGATTCATGAGCATAGTGGTGGCCACAAACGCTCAAGTCCTAAGGGTGCAACCTAGGGCAAGACTGTCCATCATATCATGGTAGTAACCAGCTAAAACTTGCTGGAAGCCTTCAGTCTGCTTCTGAGGAAGAAGCTGGGTGGCACTGTGGAGCCCTGAGAGTTTTGAATTCTAACTGGTTTGGTGAAGTTCAATGCACAGATTCGTTGAGGTTACCCTCATTGATCCATTCCATAAAGCTATCAGACATCCTGACACCCAATGGGTCACCAAGCTGTCCGCAAGCACCACTACTGGTGGTTCTTGCTGTGCAGCTTAGAGAAGGTGCAATACTCTCCAGCTCCACTGTTACCACTAATATATGTTTGCAAACTTTTTACCTCATAAACAATTAGGTAAAAAAAAAAACAGCAAAAAAAACCCTTGGATGTATAATAGTCTTCATAATATTTGAAAAATGCAAAAATCAGCCCTAGCCAGTTTGGCTCAGTGGATAGAGCGTCAGCCTGTGGACTGAAGGGTCCCAGGTTTGATTCCGGTCAAGGGCACATGCCTGGGTTGTGGACTCGGTCCCCAGTAGGGGGTGTGCAGGAGGCAGCTGATTGATGATTCTCTCTCATCACTGATGTTTCTCTCTCTCTCTCCTTCTCCATTCCTCTTTGAAATCAATAAAAATGTATATATATAAAATAAAAATGCAAAAATCAGTTTTCTTTTTTTAAATATATTTAAGTCTCTCACCTAAAAATAAAATTACTTAATATAAAGATTTTTTCACTAAAGAATAGTTTGTATTCTAAAAAACATTAAAATTATAGACTTCAAAGATAAAGCTACTAAACAACAAATATATTTTTTATACTAAGAAGAAATGAATTTTTATTGTTGACAGTATCACAATGTCTCCCATTGTCCCACATGTTGGCCTGCCTCCATTCAGCCCCTATCCCACTCCACACCTTCACCGCACTATTGTTTGTATCTATGGGCTACATATAAGTATATTTTCTTTTTAAAAAATAATATATTTTTATTGATTTCAGAGAGGAAGGGAGAGATAGAATCATCAATGATGAGAGAGAATCACTGATCTGAGAATCACTGATCGGCTGCCTCCTGCCTGCCCCCTTCTGGGGATCTAGCCTGCAACCTGAGCATGTGCTCTTGACTGAAATTGAACCTGGGACCCTTCAGTCCGCAGGCCGATACTCTATCCATTGAACCAAACCATCCAGGGCTGTATATACGTTCTTTAGAAATAAATTTGAATCATACCATCTTCTTCATCCTCAGCTTCTTCTGCTTCCATTGGATCATATTCATCTTGATTATCTTCTTCAGTTTCATCATCATCTTTAGAATCATCTTTTCTTTTATCTTCTTTCTGTAATTTAAAATACCTTAAAATTAATAAGCAAAACATCTTGCCAAATATCGACTTAGAACAAACAAAATAATTAAATCCACTAAACTTACTTGAGGTAGAATCACATTATATATTTATTACAATAATACACTTTAATAATTAACTGCCATTCACAATATATGTAAATCATATCATGCTGTCTGGCTTAAACAAAAAGAATAAACTATAAAACTAGTTATAGATGTTTATATAGGCTTAAATCAAAGACTTAAATTTCGAATACACTAAAAGTTTGTTTTGCCTTTATGTTTTTTGTTTTTTTTTAGTTTGCATTAAATGAACCGTTTATTTTTATTTTTATTTTTTTTAATTTATTGCTTGAAGTATTACAAAGGGTATTACATATGTGTCCATTTTATCCCCCCGCCCTAGACAGTCCCCTAGCCTCCCCTATCCCCCAATGTCTTATGTCCACTGGTTATGCTTATATGCATGCATACAAGTCCTTTAGTTGATCTCTTACCCCCCTACCTCCTGCCCCCCAACCCTCCCCGGCCTTCCCGCTGCAGTTTGACAATCTGTTTGAGGCAGCTCTGCCTCTGTATCTATTATTGTTCAAAAGTTTATAATGGTCTCTATTATCCATGAATGAGTGAGATCATGTGGTATTTTTCCTTCATTGACTGGCTTATTTCACTTAGCATAATGCTCTCCAGTTCCATCCATGACGTTGCAAATGGTAATGCCTTTATGTTTTACTATTCTGATGAAACTCATCATTATTTGTTATATTCTAGAGATTAATTGGAAAACTTCTAAATTAGGTTTGGTGGTCAGAGAAATTATTACAGACCTTCTTTTCATCTCTATCTTCTTTCTTATCTTTATCATCCCCCAATTTTCTTAGTTTGGGTTTTGGCTCATCAATTTCATCATCTCTTTCTTCTTTTTTATCTTTTCTCTCATCTCTTTTGCTTTTCTTTTCCTTTTCTTTTTTGTCCTCTTTCTCAGGAAGAGATAATAATGATTTGTATATTCTGACACCAAAATCTCTTTGAAGCATTTCATTGAAAAGTTCTGCAAATAATGAAACCTATAAAAAGATACCAACAGTAATCCAGACAACTTTAATAGAAATACTGAAAAAAATCCAGTACAGTCAGTAATTTGTCAAATAACTTGCAATATCTAACAATTAATGTGCACTAAAAACAGTTATAATAATTGATGTCAATGATGTTGAGAAGCCTCCAAATCCTCAAAAATTCTTCTGAAGATATAAATACTGTTTAGTATCCTTTTGGTCAAATATTATTTTTAAAAAACAAATGTATGCTATAGAAAATCAGGAATAGAAAAAACAGAATCTCTACTACCTTATACAATTAATCTTCATGATAAATGTACTTTATTCATTTATCCAAGTTTTTTTGTTTTGTTTTTTTAATGAAATGCCTACTGTGTACCAGGAACTGTTCCAGGCACTGGGGATATAGTGTGAAGAAAGTAGATAAGCATGGCCAGTGTGGCTCAGTGGTTGAGTATCAACCCATGAACCAAGAGGTCACCAGTTCAATTCCCAGTCAGGGCACATGCCCAGGTTTTGAGCTCAATCTCCAGTACTGGTTTACAGGGGGCAGCAACTGGATGATGTTTCTCTCTCATTAATATTTCTATCTCTCTATCCCTCTCCCTTCATCTCTTTATAAAAATCAATAAAAACATTTTATTTTGTTTATTTTTTAAAATATATTTTATTGATTTTTTTACAGAGAGGAAGAGAGAGGGATAGAGAGTTATAAATTAGAAACATCAATGAGAGAGAAACATAGATCAGCTGACTCCCGCACACTCCCTACTGGGGATGTGCCTGCAACCAAGGTACATGCCCTTGACCGGAATCGAACCTGGGACCCTTCAGTCCGCAGGCAGACGCTCTATCCACCAAGCCAAACCAGCCAGGGCAACATTTTATTTTTTAAGAAAGCAGATAAAAATCCCAACTCACATGAGCTAACAATATGGCATTGGGGATACAGCATGAAGAAAGCTGATAAAAATCCAAACTCACATGAGCTAACAACACAGTAAGAGAAAGTGCAGAATAATCAAATCAACATCAAATTATAAGGAAACAAGCAAGATAAAAGTAGAGAGTAACAAGACTATAATCAGAGAAGGCCTCTCTGATCAGTGGACATTCTAAAAAAAAGTGACTTGAAGGTGATAGGGGAATGCCATACATAGATAGACACTAGAAGAGCATTCCAGGTAGAGGAAACCAATTCAAAATTCTGAGTAGGAAGCATGCATTATTATTTGAGAACACATGGGTAATGAACTTTAGCATCCTCAGGGACCTAAAATTATATACTAAATTTCTTATGTAAATATATCTAAAGTTAATTGCTTTCAACAAATTAATTTGAAATGCTAAATATGTAATCTTTGGCAATATATTCAGTATATTCGGTAAAACAGTTTAATCTATTTTCCTGATCATAAAGGATAATACAATGTATTAAAATTGTAATTGATCTTATATTTAAATCATGCTCAGTCATTATACATTTTTAATAAAAATAACTCTATTATTGCCAAAACCAGTTTGGCTCAGTGGATAGAGCGTCGGCCTGTGGACTGAAAGGTCCCGGGTTCGATTCCGGTCAAGGGCATGTACCTGGGTTGCGGGCACATCCCCAGTGGGAGATGTGCAGGAGGCAGCTGATCGGTGTTTCTCTCTCATCGATGTTTCTAACTATCTCTCTCCCTTCCTCTCTGTAATAAATCAATAAAATATATTTAAAAAAAATAACTCTATTATTAGTAAAATGACCATTAAAGATGTTTAAAATTCTACTTTCTCTTAACCATTAAACAAAAATCTCCCTTTGGGTAAGTAAATAGCAAGAGGCATATCTTTTCCTTAAAGTTTTCTACTACATAGAGATAAAAAGCAGTATTAAAATGTGCTAGATTAGTACAGAACAGTAACTAGAAGAGCAGAATTAATTCTGCATATCTTTTCATCTACAAGCATTGAAAGACATACATCTACCATTAATATATCAGCTATTTATAATTTCAATGATACATGGTTTTTCTTAGTTATAGAATAATTTCTTTTAAATTAATATATCAAAATGACTTCTTCATTCTAATAATAGGTTAAAAGGAAACTAACCAGGGGGATATGTTAGGTGGGAGGAAAAAGAAAGGACCATTTTGTTAGCAAAGGGCTGTTTCACAAATCACTTTGTTTCCACCAGAGCAGCATTAATTTGGGAGCCTCTTACAGCATTAGATATACAGTACACACTTTATTTACTTTTGCACCATAAATTTTATTCCCGATGCAGGACAGATTCCTTCCATTCCCCCAAATGAATCACATGCTGCCCAGGAAATCTAGGAGATTCTCCCACCATCTCTGGGGAAGGAGTAAGAAAGGCATGTGCTGGGGACCAGGAACAATGCAGTTCCCCAGACAACTTATCTTCCCCTTCTCACTGAGGATAGCTGCTACCCACTAATTAGTCTTCTCACCTACTCATCCCTTTTTTAAAAAAAGCACCTTCACTATTGAAAAACAATAAACATCTTAAGTATGAAGGAGGGGTCCTGGGCTGGGACACCAGGTCAAGGATCACCAATGGAAGAGGAAAGGGGAGTAGAGGAGGAGTCATCACTGTTTCTGCTGCAGGGTCTCCTTCCTCGCTACATTCTGTAGTAACTGCATGTCCACCTCATGTGCGGGCAATTGCACATAGTGGACCACTGAGCCTCGGATGAAGCAGTTCTTCACCGATAATATGTGAGGGTATTTCTCAGGGTCTGTGACACTGATGTCGGTTAGTTTGATGTTGAGATACTGATCCACAGAATGGAGGATCTCACAGACGCTCAGGTCATTTTTGAGCTCCACGACCACATCCTTGCCCACAAGGGACTTGAAAAATAGAAGAGAAGGGCTGTGGGCCAGACCTGGAAAGCGAGGGCCTGATGCCGTGGGCCAGAGGCCAGGTGGGAACCAGAGCGCGAGCCAGAGCATGGGACAGCATGGGGCGGGGTGTGGCGTGGCAGGGAGCGCCTCGGGGAGCTTACAGTGCAGAAGGGGGCTACAGTACACACTTTATAAGCAGTAGGTAATATCAAATATTTTTTCCCTTATTTCTTGAATGACTACTATATGGCGAATACTACTATGAGTTAAATTTATGGCAACTGGTGACAAAAATATCAGAGAGATAACATTTAAGGATATTAGCTTACTGGAATTTTTAATGTATCAAAAATTATAAACATTTAAATATCTGTAACATTTTATATTAAGACCAATATGCATGCATTTCATGTTTTCTAACTACCTCAGTAATCTATATGTGTTTGCAAATGTCTCTAGTCTAAGCATTTTACTTCATTTTCATCTAACCATTTGGTGGACAATGACTTCTTGGGTCAAATAAGTATGACTGATTTTTCCAATACAATATATAAACTAAAACAAGGTGAAATATGAAGGTAAGACACAATAATTGAACATGATTATTATTTTTACAGGCTATTAAAAATTTAATATTTTCAGATACTTTATATTGTTTTATTCAAAGAATAAAACCATCATTTGCTTAGGGATAAACATCTTCAATTGTTTTTAAAAATGATAAGCTGTATGTTGTAAAGCTGCTCTAAAATAATGGTATGAAGAAATAGATTCATGTTAAAAAGATGAACCTCAATTAGTGTATCTTACACCTCAATCAATCACAAATGAAATTTTCAATGCCATTAATTAGTATTACAATTCTAGAGTAAGTAATAAAGCATTGCCTCATTTCCAAGAGAGGCAATTAGATATTATGTATCACGTACCTCTGATATCCTGAGGAAACTTACTGCTACCTTATGAAGTAGTCTTAGGAAAAAAAGAAATTGAACCTGACCTAAGATCATCAATTTACAGGAAGTACCAAGGCCAGAACAAACATTTAAAATATGCCATAGGAATGCAATCAGCAAAAGTGGGTCTGTGAAAAATCACCTGGTTTTATTTCTCCCCCAAAATAACAAATTGCAAGAAAAAAACACTAAAAAACAGAATAAAAAAGAACCTTGAATTTTAAGATATATTACCCAATCAAATTGTGTGGCTCTCATTTGGATACCAATTCAAACTTAAATCAGTACCTCAAATGAATGTTATTTATTATCTTCTAATCTGTAGTCCAAAAGTACGCTCAGAGACATGATGCTACAATCAAACTTGCCACTTTTTGCAGCCCAATTTGGATGTACAATAATGGCTGGTTCATCAGGCAAAATATATCTTCTTTCCCGACGCTGGCGTTCCATTTCCTCTTGACGTTTTCTTTCTTCTTCCTAAGTATTTGAAATTTTAAGTAAAGGTTAAATTTCCATGTACAATACGTACATACAGTTGACCCTTGAACAATATATGAATTGCATAGGCCCACTCATTTGTTAATTTTTTTCAATACCTATAATGTTTTTATCCCTGGCTGGGAGTCTGAGGATGTGGAGGGCCAACTGTATGCACTGATCTAAGACATTTTATTTAGAAGACTTGAGTACCCATGGATTTTGGTATCCACAGTGGTTCCTGGAACTAATCCCCAAAATATATCAAGGGCAGCAAGCTTTTAGGGAGTCAAAAGTTGTATAAAGATTTTTTAAAATCGATTTTGAGAGAGGAAGGGAGGGAGAGAAGGAAGGGGAGAGAGGGAAAAAGGGAGAGAAAAAACATCGATTTGCTGTTCCATTTATTCATGTATTCATTGGCTACTTCTTTTATGTGCCTTGATGGGAGAATGAACCCACAACCTTGGCTACTAGGACAACCCTCTAACCAACTGAGCTACAGCCAGGCCTCTGAACACAGATTTTTGACTGAGCAGGAGTTGGTGCCCCTAGACCCAGCATTGTTCAAGAGTCAACTGTAATCAAATGTATACCATGTAAAGAAAAGTCCCTGACTACTTCTGATGATTACTCCAACCCTAAGGGCTGAGAATGGAGAAAAATTCAAATTTACTAAGTCTTAGCTGTTTTTATGGCTCTTTCTTTGTATTTCCCAGCATAAGAAATTACCTGTGAAGAAGGGGGGAAATACCTATGTTAATGTTACATACAGTAAATCAGGGGATTTTGGGGAAATACTGGTGGTAGCACGGCTTCTGGATCTTCCTGAATCCGCACAATTAAAAAGAGATAGAGCCCTAGCTGGGTTGCCCAGTGGATAGAGTGTTGGCCCCTGGACTGAAGAGTTGCAGGCTCGATCCCTGGCCCAGGTGGGGAGGCATGCGGTGTGGGAAGCAACCAATCAATGTGTGTCTCTCACATCAATATTCCTCTCTCTGTGTCTCTCCCCCTCCCACTCTCTCTAAAAATCAATGGAAAAAAATCCTCAAATAAGGATTGACAACAACAACAACAAAAAAGAGATACCAAATAATCTAGATACCAAAACCAAAATCCATACACATTCATAACAAAACAAGGTAACAAAGTATCTCCATTAATCCCAATGTACAAGAGGGTGGAAAAAAAAAAAGCCCCAAGAACCAGGTCTGTTCCTGGTGTCCGTGTATGGGGAAGGCAGAAGGAAGTAATGGAGTTATCCTGAAGGATCTAAGGACAGGAAAACATGAAATACTCCAAAGGGAAAGAAAAAACAATAGTCAACAGGCATTCAATTGGAAACCGAAGTAGGTCAATTAAGAACAGCAGCTCAAATTAGGCAAAGTTCTACTTCCAACAATAGTGAGTTAAGATCTGAAAGGGTCTAGAACATTCTAGCCCTATAAACCTACAAAGCTGATTTATCAGGGCACTCTTCCAGCACAGGGCCTCACACTGAGGAGAAACTTCTGGGAGTAGAATCAATACTGAGCCGGAGAGGGACAACAGAGACCTGGGAAGAGAAGGTCCGGTGTGGCTCAGTTAGTGGGGCCTTGTCCTGTGCACCAAAAGGTTGTTGGTTTGATTCCCTGTTTGGGCACATGCACGGTTTCAGGCTCCATCCCAGGTAAGGGGCATGCAGGAGACAGCCGATGGATGTTTCGCTTGACCATTGATGTTTATGTCTCTCTCTCTCCCTCCCTCCATCCCTACCCCACCCTTCCTCTCTGTAAATCAATTTTAAAAATCTTAAAAAAAAAAAAAAAAAAGAAAAACTGACAGGGCAATAGAGAAATCTCAGAAAGGAAGCCATCATATTGCTTGACAGAATAAGAAAACAACAGAACATAGAGCTCCGTGAAGTTAGAAAAGCGACCTGAAAGCAACCTCCTTCTACTCAAATTTTAAGTAAACTAAATTCACATAAATAAGTGCAATGGGCCAAAACCGGTTTGGCTCAGTGGATAGAGCGTCGGCCTGCGGACTGAAAGGTAACAGGTTCGATTCCGGTCAAGGGCATGTACCTGGGTTGCGGGCACATCCCCAGTAGGAGGTGTTCAGGAGGCAGCTGATCGATGTTTCTCTCTCATCGATGTTTCTATCTCTCTCCTTTCCTCTCTGTAAAAAGTCAATAAAATATATTAAAAAAAAAAAAAAATAAGTGCAACGGAAGGTCAATTCCATACAAAGTTACTATTTTTTTTTTAAAGGAGCAGAATTAGATCCCTACAGGCAATGAAAGTAGGCCAAAAAGACATTAAGAAACGATTAACAAGGCATGAAAGAACAACAAGAATTTTAAAATTAAAAAATAAGGTGCTAGCACTAAAGAAACAATTAGAAAAAAAAGTTTCAGAAATTTAAGAATAAAACCAGAAGAAACATAAAAGCAAATAAATTCAAGAAATAATGCCTTAAGATAACAGAAAAAGGAACTTACTTTTTCACAGCAGTATTATTCACAATAGCTGAGAGATGAAAACAATCCCCAATACCCATAAACAGATGAATAATAAACAAAATGTGGTATACTAGTATATACAGACCATGCAACATTATTCAGCCTTAAAAAAAAAATGGGGGCAAGGGGGCGGGGGGAAAAAAAGAGAAATGAAGTTCTGATACATGCTACAACATTGAAAACATTATGTTGAGAAAAGTCAGACACAAAAGGACGTCTACTAAACAATTCTACTTACATGAAGTATCTAATACAGGCAAATTCATAGTAATAGAAAGCACAATAGAGGTTCTAAGGCAGCAGTTCTCAAACTGTGGGTCACGACCCCCTTGGGGGTCGAACAACCCTTTCACAGGGGTGGCCTAACCATCGGAAAACACATCTATAATTACATATTATTTTCGTGATTAATCACTATGCTTTAATTATGTTCAATTTGTAAAAATGAAAATACATCCTACATATCAGATATTTACATTACGATTCATAACAGTAGCAAAATTACAGTTATGAAGTAGCAATGAAAATAATTTTATGGTTGGGGGTCACCACAACATGAGGAACTGTATTAAAGGGTTGCGGCATTAGGAAGGTTGAGAACCACTGTTCTAAGGGATTGGGGGAGAGAGGTTGGAGAGTTAATATTGTTTGGGATAATGATTAAGTTTCTGGAAATGTAGAGTGGTGATGGTTGCACTTAATGCCACTGAACTATACACTAAAAAATGGTATAATTTTTATTTATGTATATTTTATCACACACAAAAAAGTTTGTTAAAGAGAAACTTTCCTGGAAAGTCAGAAATTACATATTAAAAGAGCACACCATGCCCTAGCTGGTTTGGCTCAGTGGATAGAGCGGTGGCCTGTGGACTGAAGGGTCCCAGGTTCGATTCCGGTCAAGTGCACATGCCCGGGGTTGCAGGCTCAATCCCCAGGAGAGGACATGCAGGAGGCAGCCAATCGGTGACTCCCTCTAATCATTGATGTTTCTATCTCTCTCTCCCTCTGCCTTCCTCTCTGAAATCAATAAAAACATAGTATTTTTTAAAAAAGAGCACACCATGTATCTGAATAGATTAACCCAGAATGACCAATATCTAACTGTATTTCTAATTAAATGAAAAATTTGTACATCTAGGAAAAATAGCAAGTGACTGCACCAGAAAGCAATCATTACTTTTTGAAAGCAAAACTTTCTCAAAAAGTATATCAAGGAAAATAAATGTGAGCCACAGATTTTATATTCAGACATAGCTGGTTTAGCTCAGTGGATAGAGCGTCAACCTGTGGAATGAAGGGTCCCAGGTTTGATTCCAGTCAAGGGCACATGCCTGGGTTGTGGGCTCAGTCCCCAGTAGGGGGTTGTGCAGGAGGCAGCCAATCTATGACTCTCTCATCATTGATGTTTCTATCTTTCTCCTCTCCCTTCCTCTCTGAAATCAATACAGACATATTTTTAAAAATTACTTTTTAATTAAAAATAAATATTCAGCAAAACTGATTTTCAAGCAGAAAGGGTATAGTCTTGTTATCAACATACAAGGACTTAAATAATAGTACCATGAGCTCTGAGGAATCTAAGAGATGAACTTCAGAGACCATGATAAATGGACTCGTGGTGAGCATCAGATATTTACTTGAAGAACCAAGATTAAATTAGTATTAAAAGACAGTATGGTAGGTAATGCTGCATGCTAGAGCAATGTATTTTTAGCACAATATAAAAACAATAAGAAAACAGGAAAATGCAAAAATATTTTCAAACTAACTTTGGCAAGAATATTGATGGTGGTACAATTAGTATTGTGTGTCTGAACATATTCCCATCCACTGGCAAAAAAAAGGGACAATGTGAGCTTCAATAAGAATAAGAACTCTCTGGTGAGCATTATGCTAAGCGAAATAAGCCAATCAGAGAAAGATAAATATCACATGATCATACTCATTTGTGGAATATAATGAACAACATAAACTGATGAACAAAAATAGTTACAGAGACAGAGAAGCATCAAACAGATTGTCAAACCTCAGATGGAGGGTGAGGGTGGTGGGGGGGAGGTAAGAGATCAACCAAAGGACATGTATTCATGCATATAAACATAATCAATGGACACAGACATTAGGGGAGTGAGGGCATGTGCTGGGGGGTGGGAATGGCTGGGGAGAGGTCAATGGGGGGGGGGGGGGGAAGAAGACATATTAATACTTCAATCAATAAAGAATAAAAAAAATAAAAGAATAAGAACTCTCAAGAACAAAGATTAAAAAAATAAGAAATACACGCCGAAACTGGTTT